ACAGGAATTTAACCACTTATATTCATCCTTTCTCGATCAACTTCATCTAAGCAGTAATTTAATTTTTAATAAAAAATTTAATTAAAAATAAAACTTTGTTTTTACAAAGCAATAAAAGCATTTTCATATTCAATATATATTGATCTCTTATAAAAAGCATATAACTATTATGGTATTAAAGAGATAAAATAACTAACTGATGTTTTTGGCAGACTCAGCCATTGGAATACTTTGAGCAGCTAAAACAGTATAACAAATGTTTTTTTATTTGTTTAAGTTATATGTATTATTATAATACATATAACTTAAACAAATAAAAAAAACATTTGTTATACTGTTTTAGCTTGTTTATTTGTTATGCTGTTTTAGCATTGTTTATAATAATTATAAACAATGCTTTTGGTTATTAAATGACATTTCAAATGTTTTATCTCTGACAAATAACCTGAAAATCTGGCTCTCACCTAAACTTTTGTTTAGAAGAAAAACATTGAAACTTTTTAACTTTAATTAAAACTTGATAAAATTTTATTTAAATGTTTTTGTAATGTAAATGTAAAAATAGTATTTTTTAATAAACATTTTTCAATAAAATTTAAATTAAAGAAAAGAAACATAAAAAATAGTGCCATTATTTCATATTGAAATTAAAAAAAATGTTTATATAATGGATTTAAATGAAATAATACGTAAAACTTTCATAATTTTCTTGACTGTTCATTTTTTAATAGTTTATCTAAATCAAATGTAAAACAAATAGTTAACCCATCTGCCTTCCAAAACCACATCGAAAAAAGAAAAAAAAAGGTACGAAAAGTGCTACTAAAAATAGGGTGTCTGCTACTAAAAAATTTTCAATGAAATTTTGCAGCTGCATAGATAGATAAAAAATCTAGGTGAAAGAATATAATTGAAAAAGTTTCCAGCATATCTTCGACATTAATTTCATGTCAGAAGTACAATCAAATTTTTGACATCAATAAACTCAGTCATAAATCTAGTCATTATTATTACAAATCAAACAGAAATAAAGGTTAACTTTTCTAGTTTTTAAAAATAATCTATGTTGATATAATATTCTAAAAAGTTATCTGACAAAATATGTTTTCACTATGCTAACTCTAAACGGACTTCGAAAAACGTGGCACAGAGTTTTAGCACAATTCGGAGCAGTAAATCACGATTGTCACGTACGTATATATATATATATATATATATATATATATATATATATATATATATATATATATATATATATATATATATATATATATATATATATATATATATATATATATATATATATATATATATATATATATATATATATATATATATATATATTTACTGCACAATTCGGAGCAGTAAATCACGATTGTCACATACGTATATATATATATATATATATATATATATATATATATATATATATATATATATATATATATATATATACGTACATATATATATATATATATATATATATATATATATATATATATATATATATACGTACATATATATATATATATATATATATATATATATATATATATATATATATATATATATATATATATATATATATATAGTAATAGTATGAAAAACTGCAGCACATTTAAACAAGAGCGACAATTTCTTTCAGAGATTAACAGCACATTTAAACAAGAGCGACAATTTCTTTCAGAGATTAACATCACAACTAACAAAACCAGGTTTCAGTTGACCAATTATTTTACAAGCTGATAAGGTAGCTTTGCATGCTTGTGCTGAAGTTTTGAGACTGTGTGATAGTAAAACACCAAGATCTTGTTCGCATGTAGTTTTTGCAAGATTAAGTCTCATATTAGTATTGTAATCGGTAAGAGTGTAGCTTGACATAGGATTGTTTTTACCAACATGCATAACTTTACATTTATCTATATTAAGAGTTAATAACATTGCCTAGATCAGATTGGAGTATACTTATACTGCTCTTGATATTTTTTAAACTGTATTTAAATTGTATAAGACGTATTAGCCAACTGTCTAAATGTTTTTATTAGTGTTATTAACCGTCAGTATGAGCGACAGTTTACTATGACTTTAACTTACTAACTTTTTGTCCCAAACATTATCAGCAAGTCCACATAATATTGACTGTAAAGAACTTGTGGGTATATTTAGCGCTGCAAAGCAAAAAGCTCCTAATGCCACATTTTGTTACTTGTCATAGAAAATTCGCGCATGCAAGAATAAGACAACTGATTTTCTTTCTAAAAAAACCAACTGATATACAAAATAAATTGATAGCCTGGTCTATCTCCTCAGCCGGTAAAAAGCGCTTAGCAAACATGCAATGCCATGAAGAAATGAAGGCTGAATTGATTAAACGCATAGCTAAAAAGATTCAAAATAAGGAGGAGAAAGAAAGAAGAAAAGTGGAAAAAATATTTAAAAAATGCGTACCTCTACAGGTAAAACAATTCTTCCCAATTCTGGAAAATAATGGAGCTGCAGATATTGAAGACATTCTCAATGGAGATGTGTTGGAAGAAGTACATGGCACATGTGGTATGATACTGATGCTAAGGCAAAGATATGTACTATGGTAGGCTTCTTAGCATTAAAAAAAATAATGCTTTATATATAGTTTCCTATTGGAAACTAAATGAAAACGAGGACGATGATGCTGTTGAATATGATATGAGCAAATACCAATTATCCGCAGACATCATAAGAGGCAATTTGATATTAAAAAATATTGTTAAATTATTTTGTTAAATTTTGATAATTAAACTTGCATAACTTTTTATAGAATTATTCTTTTTTTATGAAATTTTCGCCATCAATCAATAAATCAGTGAATCAGTGGGTAAATAAGAATCAGTGAGTACATATAACATACAATTATCTGAGTATATAACATACGATTATCTCAATGTTTTTACTGGAAAATTTCCGATTATTTATTTTTCTACCTACAAGTTCCAGCAACTGAAGTGATAAAAAATACTAAAACAGTTGTTGCTATGTTTCATCAACAATACCCAAAAACATTTGCGTATTCAACTTCTTTATTAATATAAATCTCATCAAATATTAAATATATAGAATTTTTTCTTTATTGGTCAAAGACTGTATTCTTTTTATTTTTAAATTTTATTTTTTCATTATTTATTCTAGTGATACTGATATTAAATTAGATAGTCTTTGGAGCTTGATGACAATGTAAAGATGTTATCACGTAAAATCATCTGGTAGCATCTACTATTATATAACAAACCGCAACAAACGAGTTACAAGAAGATTATTGTTGTACCTTCTTCTTTGGCACGATTTTTCCAATAAAAGAAGCTGGTCCCATATAAAGTTAAGCTTTATAAGAATTGCTTAATTGCAATTCTATATTTCCAAAAGTTTAATACATGTAGATACGGCACTGAGATACGGGTGAAATTCCTTTTTGATTAAATAATCTATATAGCTTAGGAAATTCTCTAAATCAGATAAACTAGAAATTTTTGCTATGTTTGGGATTATTTTGCTATGACGGATTCAGGGGAAGGGGGATAGGGGTATGCATCTCTCCCCTTCCTTCTCCAGAATCCGAAAGCCCTAAATATTCTTAGAAATTGAGGACCTTTTTTTTTATTATGAAACACAAATGTGGTACAAAAAACAAAAATATTTCAACAGGTACTGGTATTACTCTACTTAAACTTGGCAAAAGTGAAAATACTGACGGTACAGCTGGTCTTAATACTAGGTATGTGATGATACAACTGGTCTTAATACTAGGTATGTGATGGAACAGCTGCTTTTAATACTAGGTATGTGATGGTACAGCTGCTCTTAATACTAGGTATGTGACATGAAATTTCTAAAATAATCAAATACTAGATTGTTATATATTATTCGAAAGAAAGTTTTATTACTTTTTAAAGGTGAAAAAAGTATTAAAATCAAACAATTCTACGTAAAGCATTTTAAGTGTCGAGTTATTGTCATACGAAAAGCATTTTAATTGTCGAGTTATTCGATATATTGATTTGTTGAAGAAACGGTAAACAAATATAGAGTTTGTCTAACTTTAAATGCCGTAACTTTATCAGTTCTTATCAAAATTCATAAAACTTGGTATCAAAAGAAGGTCTTAAAAAGAAGAATAGAGATACATACTTGCTGTTGCTAAGCAAATAAAAGTTTGTTTTTGGTACCAAAAAGTAATTTTTTTAGGGCGTATTCTTTTTTTTCTACAACTGTAGGTATAAACTTTATATTAAAACTGATTATCAGAATTTGTAAAGCATGTTTTTAGCTACATTTATGCATGTTTGAAACTGCTTGAGTCCTAACCTATAAATATATGGTAGCGATTTTGTAAAAACTGTGGTAGCGGTGACCTTGGAGGTAGCTAATGTTGTGTACCTTGTGGTACCACCAAGGTACACACTTGCATGATTTTGTAAATACTATTATAAGTAAGTTTGTTATGAAAATATTTATTTAATGTAATATGTCGTTATAGTTAATTTTTTTTTTTTTTTTGATGATGATGTCCTTCCATTTTATGAAAAATAAATTTTACAGATATTTGATAGTTTTTAATGCTTTTCATTTATTTTTAGAAAAACAAAAAACAAAAAAAAAAATGTCTGGAAGTAAAAATGGATTTAAAAGAAAACCTATACGAAAAGAAGACCTAGAAAGTGCTGTAAAACTTATAGTGAACAACGAACTATCTATATACAGAGCTTCTATGGACTTTGACATTTCTGAAACAGCCTTAAGAAGACACAGAAACAAATTCCTTGAATCAGGTTTAGAAATATTTTGTTACAAAAATAAAAAAACATTAAACAAGTCTTCGCCGTAAAAGAAGATAAACTTCTAGTTGATTACATATTGAAAGCTGCTGATCTTCATTATGGACTGACTTTGAAAGATGTTAGAAAACTGGCTTACCAATTTGGGAAAGCAAATTAAAAAAAGTATGATGCATCTTGGGATAGAAACAGATGGCTGGAAAAGAGTGGCTGAAAATCTTCCGAAAAAAATATTCTAAAGAATTATCACTTAGAAAGCCTGCGGCAACAAGTCTGGCCCGCTCAACTGCTTTTAATAGACAAAATGTAGTACTTACTTTTCAAAATTATGAAGTAGCTCTTGGGCTTGAACAAAATCAAGGTATTACAGCATTTAACATATGGAATGTTGACGAAACCAGTGTTAGCACTGTCCACCATCCTCCTAAAATCTTAGCAAAAAAAGGTCAAAAGCAGGTTGGTGTAATGACTAGTGGTGAACGAGGATATAGTGTAACAATGATTGGAGCAATAAATTCTGGTGGTAGCTATATACCCCCAATATTGATTTTCCCTCGTAAGAAGTTTAAAGACTTTATGTTAAAAGAAGCCCCAGAAGGTACACTTGGTGGAGCAAACCCATCAGGATGGTCAAATGAAGACTTGTTTCTAGGATTTATGAAACATTTTGTAAAGCACACTCGTTCAAGTAAGGAAAATCCTTCTATTCTTTTACTTGACAACCACGAGAGTCATATCTCAATACCAACAATCCAGCTAGCAAAATATAATGGGATTACAATGGTAACATTTCATCCACACACTAGTCATAAAATGCAACCCTTAGACGGGTTTAGTCCATTTAAGACATATTAAAACAATAAAATGAAGGATTGAATGTTAAAACCAGGCAATACTGGGAAACCAGCAACAATCTATGATGTATCAGAAATTGTTGAACAAGCTTTTTCCTGAGCTTTTACACCAAGAAACATTACACACAGTTTTCTAGTAAGTGGCCTTCATCCACTAAATAAAAACATTTTTAAAGATTATGAGTTCTTGCCATCCACTATAATAGATTGACCGCAACCTGTGTCTAAAGACTAGCCTGGAAGCAAAAGTAAGCATATTGAAGACTTTTTGAGCAGACCTGGGTCCTCAATCAACACTGAGGTAACTAGCTGCAGTCTGGCTTCTTTTGCAAAACAGATCAACGCTAACATTTTATCTCCTGATATTATTCTACCTTACCCAAAAGCTCAACCACGAAAACAAACTAGAAAAGGTCGTCCTAAGAAAAAGTCTTGCATTTTAACTTCCAGCCCTGTAACAATTCAAATTAAAAAAGAAAAAGCGTAAAAAAAAAATAAAATGAAACGCAAAACTGATAATAAACAACCGGAACCTGTTTTGAAAAAAAAGCTGAGCTTTACCTTAGAACAAAGTACAGCATTAGAGGAAAATGTAGATTTAGTATCGGATAAAGTGTCTGCTCAGTCAGAAGTAGACTTCGAGGTTATGAAAGTCCAGCCTGGAGTTTTTATCTTGGCACAAATTCATTGCAAGCGTGCTGTAAAAAACTTTGTAGCAGAGGTGCTAAAAGTTGCTGACACATTTTTTTAAAATTCAGAATTAAACTCAGAAAGATTTACTAGAGAAGATAAAACTGTGTATAAATTGCAAATATCAGACATGGTCTTTCAGTTGCCGCATCCTTCTATTACAGGAGGTTCAGCACGACAGCTAGAAAAATTATCATTTGGCATTAACTTTGATAACCTAAATGTAGAGTAGTCAAATACTAAATCAAAGTGAAAGACTTTAATTTACTGAACTTTAATTTATAATTTTGTTATTACTCTTTTCTTAATAAGCTTTATTTCTTATGTACATTTTTATTACTTCCAAATTTAAATTAGTTTAAATTTATAATCATATATAGCAATTTAGATTAATATACAGTTTATATAAATTTAACTAGTTTGATTAATGTTATCTTAAATGAGGCTGATGTATATATGTATATTTATTCAGTAATCAATAACTGTTTACAATTTTATTAAAATCGCACAATAAAAACAGTTCGTGGTACGAATTTATCTAAACTGCATATTCTAATTATTGACGGAGAGAGGCTGACAAAAACCCCTCTTTTCTGACAGTATTTGCAATTATAGCTGCGCCAGCCAAATTGCATGAATAAATCGTACTATCGAAGTCTACATTTAAAACAATTGAGTGATGGTGTCTTTACTGTAGTAGTTGTTAAGGAGTTCCAGTTTTTAACTACTCGGTTAGTGAAAAAAGTACGTCTTTCTTCATGTTTCAATTTTTTTTCAGCGGCTAGTTCAAAGGCTTAAAATGTATTTAGATCCTCGATAGGCTGGTGTAGTTTGTGGCGCCACAAAATTGATTGAATCAATTCTATTAACTATTTTGTACTGCTTTATAAGATCAATACGCATGCGGCGAGTTTCAAGAGTAGTCAGATTAAGCCGTCTTAAACGTTCCTCGTATTTTAGATTACTTATTGACCTGACCCATTTCGTTGTTCAATGCTAAATTTTTTCAATTGTGTTTATATCTCCTATGAAATGAGGAGACCACGCTGGGACAGCAAATTCTAATAATGGTTGGATATAGGTAGTATATAAAAAACGCCAAAGAGTTAAACCACGACTTCTGAATCCCTTTTTAAATTTCCCTAGCACTCTATTTCCAGCTGCAGCTGCGTGTTCAGCTTGTAATTTCACTTTAAGTTTATTGGAAACTATAACTCTCAAATCGCATTCTTTTGTTGTGGTTTCGAGTTGTTTGCGATGACCATTTTGTGATTCCATTGTAAACAAATAGTTTGGCTTTTTTTTTTTTTTTTGCCCATGTGCATAACTTTGCATTTTTTAAAATGTTAAATGGCATAAGCCAATTTTTGGACCAGTTTACAGCAGTGTCAAGTTCTTTTTGAAGACATAGTGCATCATTTTCTGACTTGATAACACCTATGATCTTGCTGTCGTCTGCATACATTTTTATATGATTCAAAATTAAGTCCGGTAAATCGTTAATATAGCACAAAAAGAAGCGGTCCTAAAACCGAACCCTTAGGGACTTCGCTAAACACTTTTTTTCATGGAGACAATGTATCATCAATTTTGACACGTTGTTCTCTATTTTTTAGCCAATTTCTTATCCAGTCATGTAGTTGAACGTGAATACCATAAGCCTTTAGTTTATATAAGAGTCTTTCGTGCGGTACCTTATCGAACGCTTTTGAAAAGTCTGTATAAATTACGTCTACCGTAAATCCCTGATTGATGGCGTCAGTAACAATATCCCGCGATTCTAATAGGTTTGTGGATTTTTTTTTGGCTGGTATGGTTTTGTGGTACTTGGTATGTAGAGTGAAGTAGCTTCATTATATTTTTCAATTAAAAGTTTGTATTTTTCGGCCTCTGATGTACTTTTGAATAATGCCTCCCAGTCTTAACTTTTAATATAGTTCGAGATAGATGTATAGTTTGCCTTGTTCCACACTAATCGAGAAATTATAGGTGGTTCATTGTTTGTTATTGTTGCTGCGAATGAACCTACAATAGTTAGGTGAGCTTGTCCCTCGGGGGTAGATCCCAAAGGTTCAGCTTGAGTTAAGGAAATTATTCTGTCTGGCTCATTGGTTATAATTAAGTCCAAGATGGACTTTGGTTCTTTAAAACGTGAATTTTGAAAGGTTGGGAAAGTGACAAGTTGCATAAGATGGTTTTCCTCTAAACAAGACTTGAACTTAATGATAGGTAAGCTGTTGATCAGTATGTTGACGGCTGTCGAAACACCTCCTTCAACGTTAATACTTTCATAGCTAATGTGTCTGAAATTAAAATCACCATAGAGTAGTAAGGAGTCACAACCGATTGTTTTGAGGGCCTTTGTAGCAGTCTGAATTAATTTGGTGATTTCTAGGAGCGCAAGTTCATCGTTATTTGGTGGTCAGTAGATGCACCCTAAAATGAGTGATTCATTTTCAAGTTTCAGCTTTATCCATATCTGTTCAATGGTGTTTTTGTTAAGTTGTTCAATGTTTGTGAGCGTGCACTTGAGATCAGCTTTTACGCAAATAGCTACACCACCTCCTATTTTTCCAGCCCTGTTTCGTGAAAAGATGTTATACCCTGCAATAGCAGTATCTGAAGCCTCAGTAAACCACGTCTCAGCAAAAAAAAAATAAGATGTGGGCGGTTATGCTTGGTGGTTGCTTGTATTCTGGCTTTCAACTCGTCAATTTTTGTTTGATTTAGTGAGCATGGATTATTTGCCCAAAAATTGATGTTACTGAGAACTTTTACTGAGTAAGTTTTAGGTAGTTCGGGCTGCTGAGGTATGACAGGAAAACGTCGAATTAATGATGATTTTCGAGTTGGGCGTTTTCTTTTAAGATTGACGCTCGGTGGTTGTAACGATTGGTTGTAATTGTTGAGAATGAAACTGTTGAGTTTTTTCTAGCTGGGATGGGGGGTGAACTTCCATTAATGACATTTGTTGTGAAATTTGGTTTTGAGGCACTAGCAATTGCGTCTGCAACGATCTTGATGTTGACAAAGACTGATCTTTTGTTAGTAGTTGACTCTTGTAAGTTAATTGGTTTAACACAGTTAAGGCGTCGATGGATAACGAAACGAAATGACAGAACTATGGCATGCGATTCAGGCTCTTTGACTGTGACCTGCATGAGCTTGGTTTTTCTGATTTCCGTGTCGATTTTTTTATGATTAAAACCTCTGACTCTCACAATAACTGAAGTGTCGATACCAATAGCTCTGAAGAAATTTTCGGCTGCCTGTTTAATTTCGTCATATTTGTCTGAGACCTCCAGTCCCACCACAATTACACTTGATTCTTTTTTCTGTCTTTGTTTCTGCTCATGTGCTACTTTATTTAAAAATAGATTCTGATTATTTTTACTTTCATTAGATTTGTTGTTGAAGAGTGATGAGAATGATACCGGTTCAGGTTTTTTTAGTTCGCTAAGAGATTTGTGTAAGGTTTCGTTTTCTGCTTCTAAGGTCAGGACTTTGTTTTCTAGAATTGCAACAACTGCTTTTACAGCTTTAAACTCTGCAAACATTATATAGTCTAGTTGCTCTGTTTTACCGGGTCCTGTGCTTGAAAATACTTCAGGTTCATATAGACTAGTGATGGGGGTTGTACTGGCTTTGACCAGTTTTATTTTCGTGAACATGTTTTACAGAAGAAAAATAGTAGTAATAAAATATGTACATACACATATATATAAACTTGTATATGTGTATATAAAAACAAAATATATTTCTTTCGTAGATATGTATTAAAAATAAAACAATGGTTATAAATATTTTGCTAATATATAGTGATAAGTTTCCGTAAATATATTTATCAATTAATAAATAAATGCAAAAAAAAAATCAGAGAAAAAAAAGTTTGAAAAATTATTTTCAAAACTTATCGAATAGAACAATAGATAAGAAAATATTAGCGCGCTAAATCTTTGGCGTTTATATATAAAAAAAAAATGCAAAGATATATTTACTCATGTATAGAAAAAATGCAAAGACATATCAGCTCATATATGGAAAAAAAATCGAATGGTATATTAGCTCATATATAGAAAAAAAAAACGAATAGGTAAGAAAAATAATAAAAACATTTAAATGAATAAATGTTTAATAGAAAATAAATATCTGGTTCAATTAAGGATCCCTCGTAGTCAATCAACTTTCTCTCCCTATTTTAAATTTTCAAGATACGTCATAAATTTTACTGCTCTAAATAAGCTATCAATCATTAACTTATAAACGACGTAATTTAATCTTTTTTATATAATTACGTCATTGATTTTGCCT